GGACCTTGTTGACTATGATGTCCTTGATTGGCCCAGTTAACATTCCCAATCAGGAAAGCCCTGGCTGACCAATATTAACAGGTGATTTAGAATCTCCTCAGTCCAGGGAACTGACTCTGGGCCAGCCAGGTCTGGTGTACTGTGCACAAGTGAACAAAGGGTGACATGGTGACATGGTGACATGGTGACATGGTGACATGGTGACATGGTGACATGGTGACATGGTGACATGGTGACATGGTGACAGGATACCAGCATCTGTGCAGTTATTTCAGTGGTGATAGGACAAAGCAGTATGTGCCTGAATAACATTCACTTGCAGCAGTCATCTTGGCATTGGATAAGCATTTCTAGCATCATGTCTTTATTTGGGAAGCTTGACTCATTTGATCCTACATTGGAGAAGGCTGGGCCCGGTATATGTAAAGAATGCAAATTTTTTTTAACATGCAAATGACATTGGGGCAGATGAAAAGCAACGAGTAATCCTTACTGCCTCCAGACCTGCAGCATTTTCGGTTATAAGGGCTTAACTTTCCCAGAGGCACCAGACACTAATGTCTTCTGAGAGTTAGGAGTTGGTTAAGGGAATATTATGACCCCAAACTTTCTCTAATTCTAAGATGCTCTCGGTTTAATTCCATTGTTAGAGAACCAGGGGACTCTGTGTTGGGATTTTTGACAAGGTTAAGACAACTGGTAGAGGCATGTCATTTTAGGTTAATCCTGAATGAGATGCTGAAAGACCATTTGGTGTGTGAGATTAATGATGTAACCATGCATAAGTGCCTATTAGCTGAAGCCCAACTGGATCTTAAACAGGCACTACAACTGGCTTTGTCATTAGAAAATGCGGCAAGTTGAATATGCGAGCTAGAGGGCATCCCAATGGAAGTAGACTCCATCACCTGTCCGACTGAGCTTGGGGAACACCACTTGAGTGTAGGCAATTGCAGAGCCTTGCACATGGCATATCCTGAGCAGAGGAACACTGCTACCTAGGGCCAGTCCATAGCAGAATCCCACAACAAAGCTGAGCCTCGGCCAAGTGGCTAACATGTTCTGCAAGATCTGGGCCAGCAAGCCAGCTGCTGGAATGTGCACTCGAGACAGAAAAGGAGTCCTACAAGGCCTGACCTAAGTAAGAAAACTCATAGGCCAGTATCCAAGAAAGTGTACATCCTGGAAAGTCCACCTACATGTGGGTTGGAGCAATTAAATTGCTTAGCAATGTTCAAACTGAAACCGATTAAAATTAATGTTTGGTTAAATGGTTACCCAATTCGCATCGAGGTCAATACTGGTGCACCTGTATCTGTGGTTGCAGAACCTGTCTTCGCTTGAGGCTCCAACTCTTTAAGTTTGCACAAGACCTCAGCCAGACTGAGAACATACACTGGGCAACTGTTGCAGATTAAGGATACGACTTGTTCCCAATCTCCTATGAGAAGCAGTTGATACAGTTACCACTGCTGGTAGTGAAAGGCTCGGGCCCAAGCCGATTGGGGCAGAATTGGTTGAGAGAGCTTCACCTGGATTGGCTCAACATTTTTTGATTGGAAAATGGCTGCCTCAGTGAAGCTGTGGTGAAATACCGAGGAGTATTTCAGGAAGGGCTTGGGACTATCAAAGGGGCCAAAGTCATTTTACCTGTTGACCAGGAAGCGATTCTGAGATTTTGCAAGACCTGCCCAGTCACATTTGCCTTGCGGGCAAGTAGAGGTGGAAATCAGGAGGCTGGAGAGTGAGGGAATCATCAAACCAGTGTGGTTTGCAGAATGGGCAGCACCGGTTGTACAGATTGCGAAGCCTGATGGCTCAGTTTTTCTTTGTGGGGATTTTAAGCAAATGGTAAGTCGCTTCTCACAGCTGGATAAATAACCAATCCCTCACACAGAAGACTTGTATACAAAGTTGGCAGGGGAGCTGTCCTTTACAAAGCTGGACATGAACCACACCTCCCTGCAATTGTGACTAGATGAGGAGTGCCAGAAGTACGTTACAGTTAATACCTATAAAACTTTATACCAATATACAAGACTGCAATTTGGGGTATCATCAGCCTGTGCCCTTTTTCAGCGGACCATGGAAAACATTTTACAAGGGCCACCCCACGTTGCCATTTATCTGGATGACATACTAGTAACATGGAGGACCAATAAAGAGCACTTGGAGAACTTGGATATAGTGCTTAAGCATTTCTCCCAGGTGGGCATACACCTTAGAAGGAAAAAATGTATGTTTCAGGCTTCCCAAGTGACCGAATTGGGTTACAGAGTCAACAAAACCGGTTTACACCTGTTGGAAGATAGTGACGGCAATCAAAGCCGCCCCAGCTCCCACGTCTGTACTGGAGCTTAGGTCTTTCCTTGGCTTAATGAATTACTACAGAAAATTCATACACAACCTGACCTCTATCTTGTCACCCTGACACCTGCTATTGAAGAAGTGTCAGCCTTGGAAACAGTTGCGTAGCCAAGAAGTAGCCTTTAGAGAAGTGAAAAAGCAGCTATCGTCATCTAAGGTGTTGGCCTACTATGATCCGGAGTGAGAGGTAGTTCAGACATGTGATGCGTCCCCGTACGGTTTCGGGATCGTGTTGTCTCACTGGTGGCCTAACAGACAGGAATGTCTGATAGCGTATGCTGCCCAGACTTTGGCTGATGCCAAACGCAAATATGCTCAGGTAGAGAAGGAAGGTTTGGTGGTCATCTTTGTTGTGAGGAAGTTCCACCAGTATTTTACGGATGGGAATTTGTCATAATAACAGTTCACAAACCCCTGCTAAGGCTACTGAAGGAAGTTAAAGCAGCGCCACACATAGCTTCTGGTAGAGTTCAGCGTTGGGCCCTTATTCTCGGTGTGTACAAGTAGAAATTAAATCACCGTCCAAGAAGGCAAGTGGCTAATGCGGATACCTTGAGCTGCTTTCCACTGGCAGATACTCCACTGGTTGTGGACCCCTTGAAAGAATCTGTCTTGGTTTTAACCTTCCTCGACACCCTTTCAGTCACCACTGACAATATCCAACAATGGACACAAAAAGGTCCTGTCCTAGCAAAACTAAAACAGCTGGTGGTAATGGGGGAAACAGAACAGCCATTGCAACCAGGATTGAAACCCTTCTGGACCCAGTGAGACCAGATGACCATAGAGGGCGGCATGTTACTGTGGAGAGCAAAAGTGATTATCCTGAGTAATGGTCACGGCCAGATACGGGCCAAACTCCACCAGGGTTATCCAGACTTTTCCAAGATGAAGATGCCAGCAAGAAGCTATGTCTGGTGACCAGAGTTGGATGCCGACATTGTTGTGTTGGTGGGGCAGTGCTCAGAGTGCCAAAAAGGACAAAAATTGCCACCAGCAGCACCACCATGTACTTGGGAATGGCCGGGCAAACCCTGGGCTCAGTTGCATGTCGACTATGCTGGTCCTTTCATCGGCTCAATGTTCCTGGTCATTGTGGAATCTCATTCAAAGTGGTTGGGCGTACATAAAGTTCATTTGGCAAACTCAGGGATGATGATTGAGAAGCTGCGAGCGTCGTTCATGATTCACGGACGCCCGGAAGTATTGATCACGGACAATGGGACGTCATTTACCAGCAGGGAATTTGAATATTTCCTAAAGTCAAATGGCATTTGGCACATAAGAACAGCTCTATACCATCTATCATCCAGTGGTCTAGTGGAAAGACTGGTCCAAACATTGAAGGCAGGCTTGAAGAAGCAACGTACAGCATTTTTTGGTACCAAACTGTCCCGGTTCTTGTTTGATTATAGGACCACCCCGCACGCAACAACAGGGATAGCTCCAGCAGAGTTGCTGATGGGGAGAAGACTCCGCATCAGGTTAAACCTGATATTTCCAGACCTGGGGGCTGGACGGTGAAATGGCAGCAGGAACGCCAATGTCGATCACATGCCTGCTCTAAGCAAGTGAGACAGTTTAATTCAGGAGATGAAGTTTGGTGCCGGAACCATGGAAATGGCCCTGTCTGGGTACAAGGTAAGGATGACACGAGGTCAGGTCCTGTGACTTACAAAGTTTGGATAGGTGATACAGTCCTGAACAAACATGTGGATCACCTGAAAACTGTTACCTCGCTAACGGGGCAGGAGCAAAACATACCTAGCCCCTCAGGACAGCCAGAAGATCTGTCAGAAACCGTAGGTTCTTCCCCTTCTGTCTAGTGTCAAGGAAACCTGAGTTCGAAATGGATGCAGCCTCAGTACCATTACCGCCGGAAGAAAAGGAAGAAACTCTCCCGAGATGCTTTGGACGCAAGAGATGGGCTGCGGTCCAGTACACACCGCCCGTGTCAGAGTCCGAGTCAGATGAGCTGTACCTGGTTCGAAACGTTGCAGGAAAAGCTACAAGAGAAAGAGCAGGCCTACATCCCCAGTCTTAGAGAGGGAGGGATGTAGTGATTGGAACCAGGTGGACATTGTTGACTATGATGTCCTTGATTAGCCCAGGTTAACAACCCCAATCAGGAAAGCCCTGACTACCAACATTAACAGGAGATTAATATAACGAAAAAAAATTAACAGGAGATTTAGAATCTCCTCAATTGAGGTGACTGACTCTGAGCTGGCTGGCCACAGCCAGTGCACTGTGCACAAGTAAATAAAGGGTGACTAGGTGACGGGTTACAGGCCTCCATGCAGTTATTTTAGATAGGTACACAAATAGGAAAGTTTTAGAGGGATATGGGCCAAATGCAGACAAGTGGGACTAGTTTAATTTGGGAAACTTGGTCAACATGGATGATTTGGACCAAAGCGTCTGTTTCTGTGCTATATGACTGTCTCTAATACTAAAATTTTCGTGCAACATTAGTAGTGTTCCTGGCCCTGCTTGCCATTCAGCAACATTTGCTGGTACAGCAGATACAATAAATGAATATAGGTATCATAGTGATATAAATATGAGTATGATAGCGATATTACAAGAATTATAGCAATAACTATACAACTTAGTGATTTTTCTTTTTACAGGCAAAAGATAGAATCACAGCTTCAGCAATTACTTGAAGATGGAAGCACTGAAAATGTATTCTATTTTGAAATGAAAGAATATGGTACGTGTAATCCATATGTGTAGTGAATTTTGGTTGCTTGGATGATGAGATTGGGGATTTAATAGTTAGGAATATAGTAATGTTGGAGCCACTAGGTCAATATTTTGCTTCAATTTGCGCGTTGAAGGACACCACTTGTTACTATTGGGATAGTATTAATGCAGATGTTTTTGAAAGAGAGGAATTTAGGGGATAAATACTAGGGGAAATGTACTGAACAAAGTATTGGGATTAAAGGCAGGCTAGTCCCCAGGGCCTGATAGCCTACATCCTAGGGTCTTGAAGGAAGTGGCAACAGAGATAGTAGATCCATTGGTTATAATATTCCAAAGTTCCCTGGATTCGTGAAAGGTTCCAGTAGATTGTAATATTGCTAATATAACATACCTATTCAAAAAGGGAGGGAGGCAGAAAGTAGGAACTACATACCAGTTAGTTTAACCTGTGATATTGGGAAATTGTTAGAATTCACATTTAATGAAGTGATACCAGGACATTTGAAAAATCAAGATACAAACCATCAGAGTTAGCATGGTTTTATGAAGAGTAATCATGTTTGACTAATTTGTTAGAGTTCTTTGAAGATGTAACAAGCAGTGTGAATAATGGGGATCCTATAGATTATATTTGGACTTCCAGAAGGCATCTGATAAGGTGCCGCACACAAAAGGTTAATACACAAGATAAGAACACATGGACTCAGGAGTAACTTATTAGCTTGGATCGAGGATTAGCAAACTAGAGAGGATTGGCAGAGAGTCAGGATAAATGGATCTTTTTTTCTGGTTGGCAAGGAGTAACTAATGGGATGCCACAGGGTTTAGTCCTCAGAGCCCCAATTATTTACAATCTATATTAATGACTTGGATGCGGGGATAGAAAGTACTATAGTCAAATATGTAAATGACACTAACATAGAGGGGAAGTAAGTTGCAATGAAGAAATAAGAAATTCAGAAATTGAAGTTGTTAGATTAGGTGAGTGGGTCAAAATTTGGCAGATGAAGTTTAGTACATAATGAGAAAGACAAATGGAATTTTGGCATTTATTGCTAAAGAAATAGAATGTTAAAGTAGTGAAGTGTTGCTGCAGCTGCTACTGTGTATAAGGCATTTGTGAAACTGCATCTGGAGTATAATGTACAATTTGGTCCTCCTATTTGCGGAGGGATACAGCTGTGTTGGAGACAGTTCACTAGATTGATTCTCGAGATGAAAGGTTTGTCTTTGAAGATTGAGCAGTTTAGATCTATACCCTCTAGAGTTTAGAAGAATGAGAGGAGATCTATTTGAGATATATGTGATTCTAAAAGGGATTGATAAAGTATAAATAGAAATGCTGTTTCCTCATGTGGGGTAATCTAGAATGAGAGGTCATAGTTTTAGCATAGGGGGTAGCAGATTTAAAACACAGATATGAAGAAATTATTTCTCTGAAAAGGTTGTGAATCTATGGAATTCACTACCCCACAGTGCAGTGGATGCTGGGATATTGAGTAAATTTAAGGAGGAGATAACAGATTTTTAATTAGTAATGGGTTGAAGGGTTATGGAGAGCCAGCAGGAAAGTGGTGTTGAGGCTAAGGTGAAAGCAGCATTGATTGTATCAAATGGTGGAGCAGGCTTGAGGGGCAGAATTGCCTACTCCTGCTTTTAGTTCTTATTTTCTTGTATGTTCCTCACGTCGTTTGCCTTAGTATCTGAGTGCCCTTATCAAAACATGGTTTTGAAGTTCTCTGGTACTTCTGCAGTCCTTCAGTGTTACTACAACAAGACACTGGTGTAGCTCTAGTAAAATGGCAGAAGGCCAGTATAAGCCCCAGAGTTTCAGGACGCATTCTTATCCTTGCGTTACATTTTGAAATCTTAAAATGTGTTGCTTATCCCTTGATGACTTACCAATTATATATATAGATAGCTGTGCCAAAAAACACAGAATGGTCCCAAGACTGACCTCCAATCCTTGCATCCTTCCTGCTGATCCTGGCCATGCCATTGATAAAGATGCTTTAATTACCCTAATCTCTCCTGTGATACAAGTTTGATATTTGTTGGCTAACATTACTAAAATAGATATATACAAGCTTTCAGTTTGTTGTACAGAGTTGGTTCATCAGGGAAAGGAATTTACACCCTAACTGATCTAGCTTCCATGTAATGCTTGTCATGCCCATCCAATCCCACTTAGAGAACTGTGAGCAGATCCGGGCACCACATCTTCAGAAGGATATATTGGCTTTGGAGGGAGTACAATGTAGATTTACAAGAATGATACTGGATTTCAGGAGTTAAATTATGACGAAAGATTATAAAAATTAGGCCCGTTTTCTCTCGAGTTCAAAGGTTGTTATGTCATCTGATCAAAGTCTTCTGGATATTTACAGGAAAAGACAGGGTAGATAAAGATAAAATATTTCCACTGGTTGGGGATTCTAGGACTAGGGGTCATAGTGTAAAAATTAGGCCAGACCATTTAGGACAGATGGTAGGAAGACTGCTTCACACAAGGCGTGATAGATGTTTGGAACTCTTCCACAAGCAGCAGTGGATGCTAGATCAGTTGATAATTTGAAATTTGAGATAGATACATTTGGTTTAGCAAAAGTATTAAGGGATATGGGCCAAAGAGATGTTTATGGAGTTAAACAATAGATGAGCCATGATCTCATTGAATAGTGGAGCAGACTCGAGGGGCTGCATGACCTACTCCTGTTGCTATGTTCATAAGATCCACAACTTTCCATATAAGAAGGTATGAACATAAGAAATAACAGGGGGAGGCCATTTCGCCCTCTAACCTGTCTTAATTCAATAATATCATAGCTGCTGTACCTGAAGCCTCAACACCTCTTTTGTGCTTGCTCCCGGTACAGTTGTAACAAGTTTTCCATATTTTTAAAGTACAACCCCGTTGCAATAAAGGCCAAAGTTCCCTTTGCTTTCTTAATTACTTATTGCACTTGCATGCTAATTTTTTAGTGTCGCATACACAAGAATATCCAGATCCCTTTGTGATGCACTTTTTGTGAAACTCTGTCCATTTAAATAATAGTCTACCTTTTAATTCTTTCTACTAAAGTTCATGACCTCATACTTTCCCATATTAACTTCTTTCTGACAATTTTTTGGCCACTCACTCAACCTAGCTATATCTCCTTGCGGATTTCTAATGTCCTCATCACAACATGCGCTCCCATCTATTTTTGTATTACCAGAAACCTTGGATAGATTACACTCTACCTGTTCCTCAAAGTTGCAAGCATAGAGTCATACAGCACAGAAACAGACTCTTCTGCCTAACTTGTCCATGCTGACCAGAAATCCGAATCTGACCTAGTCCCATTTCCCAGTGTTTGGCCCATATCCCTCTAAACCCTTTCTATTCATTTGCCCATTCAGATGCCTTTTAAATGTTGTAATTGTACCAGCCTCCGCCACCTCCTCTGGCAGCTCATTCCATACCCGCACCACTCTCTGCTTGATAAAGTTATCCCTCAGGTCCTTTTTGAATCTTTCCCCTCTCACCTTAATCCTATGCCGTCTAGTTTTGGCCTCCACCACCCTCGGAAAAAGACCATGGCAATTCACCCTCTCCATGCCCAATATGATTTGATAAACCTCTATAAGATGACCTCTCAGCCTCTGATGCTCCAGGGGTAAAGAGCCCCAGCCTGTTCAACCTCTCCCTATAACTCAAACCCTCCAGTCTCAGCAACAGTCTCTTGTAAATCTTTTCTGCACCCTCCCAAGTTTGACAACGTCCTTCCAATACAAGGGCGATGAGAATTGTATGCAGTATTCTAAAAGTGGCCTCACCAATGCCAGAACATGATGTCCCATCTCCTATACTCAATGTTCTGACCAATGAAGGCAAGTGTGCCAAACGCCTTCTTCATTACCGTATCTATGTGTGATTCCACTTTCAAGGAACTGTGCACCTCCACCCCAGGTCTCTTTGTTTACAAACACTCCCCAGGGCCCTACCATTAACTGTTTGAGTCTTGCCCTGGTTTGCCTTACCAAAATGCAACACCTCACATTTATCTAAATTACACCCCTCCGTCTTTTGGCCCATCTAATCAAGATCCCATTGTACTCTGAGATGATCTTCTTCACAGTCGACTGCACAACCTATTTTGGTGTCCACTGCAAAATTACTAACCGTGCTTCCTATATTCACCTCCAAATAATTTATATAAATGATGAAAAGCAGTCGACCCAACACTGATCCTTGTGGCACTCCGCTGGCCACAGGTTTCCAGTCCAAAAGGCAAGCCTCTACCACCAACCTCTGTTTCCTACCTTCAAGGCAATTTTGTATGCAATTGCCTAGCTCCCCTTCAATCTCACATGATCTAACCTTACTAATCATTCAACCGTGCAGAACTTTGTCGAATGCTTTGTTGAAGTCCATATAGACACCGCTCTGCCTTCATCAATCTTTTTGTCATCTCTTCAAAAAATTCAATCAAGTTAATGAGACAAGATTTGTCATGCACAAAGCCATGTTGACTATATAGTAAATAATTGAATCCCTAGGACAGATCCTTGCTATACTCCACTAGTTACATCCATTCAATTTGAAAAATAAATTCTGAATCTCTATCATCTATATGCTAACCAATCCTCAATCCATGCTAATATGTTATCACCAAAACCATGAGCTGCTAGCTTGTGCAATAACCTTTTGTGGTAAGGTATCAAATGCATTTTTGAAATCCAAATAAAGCATGTCTACCAATTCCTCTTTATTATCTTTACTAGTTTGACCTCAAAGAGACCGAGTAAATTTGTCAAACATGATTTCCCCTCTGTTTGATTACATTAAGCTTTTCTAAATGCTATTTCTTCCTTAACAATGGATCTAGTATTTTCCCAACAACAGATGTTAGGCTAACTGGCCTTTAGTTTCCTGCTTTATGTCTCCTCTTTTCTTGAGCAAGTATGTCATATTGGGAGGTTCCAGCAGATTGGAAAACTGCTGGAACCTCCCAGAATCCA